GAAGCCCTTGTGAGAGGACTGAGGGCCAGGGATGTCAATTCAATTGTAGAGTCAGCCAATTCAGTGGTGGGACAGTCGGCAGAATTTGATACAATTCAGTATAATTGCGAACATTTTGCCACTCAATGCAGATATGGAGACAAATTTAGTGAACAGGCTGATGGTTATAATATACCAGGTCTTAGGGAAGTCATTTCATTTTTGGGTAATTTATTCTTTACATCCAATTGAGTCCAGTTTTTAATCTCATATTATATGCAATTTTAAATGTTAAGCTTTTATTATAAAGAAAATAATGATTTTGCTTTTATTTATCATTTCTATTATTTTATTCTCTTATTTTTGAAAATAATTTGAATATTTGATTTGTTTTGTTAATATTATGTTCTGTTTCTTCTGTTAATAAACTAATGATAATAACTATTTATAGCACTTTAGAGATTTACGATTATTTTAATAATTATTTTTACGGTAAATAAAGCAATGAAACAAAAGTCACAAATTGTTTATACCTAGGGATTACTGCAAAGGCACATGATTAAGGATTTTTAATCTCTTTATCAAGCATTCAACTATAATATGTTTATTATTTCACTTATGTATCCCTGGGAATTTCATGCAAATTTATTTTATTGTAAATAGCTACACTTTTTGAAATTTATTTTAGTTGAAATATTTAGCAAGTTTTACAAACTTGGTATAATAATTATAGGTATATTGTGTTTAAATTGATATTTTATTTACGTTGAATCATGAAACTCAGTATATTAATAGTTATAACTATAATAAATGGTATTTATGGCAATGATTTGTTCAGTTGCGAGCACTTGAACCCACAAACGGGTGATCTCATTGAGTTTCAGAGAAGATGGTACAGCCATTGGGGAGTATACGTGGGCTCCGGACAAGTGGTTCATCTGACGCCCACTCCGAAGGGTGACTATCGCTATCTCAATGAATCGATGGTCAAAGTGGCGGACAGTGACCTCTGCAGAGTCAACAACCTATTTGAAGAGGCCGTTAATCGTGGACTGATGGCCAGGGATGTGGACTCAATTGTAGAGTCGGCCAACTTATTGGTGGGACGGGCGGCTGACTTCGATACCATTCAGTATAATTGCGAACATTTCGTCACTGAATGCCGATATGGAAAGGGATTCAGTGCACAGTCCGATGGTTTCAATATTCCTATCATTAGGGAAGTGCTATCATTTGTGGGCCATTTGTTTTTCACGTCCTCTTGAGTCCCGTTCATGCAATCATTGAAGTGTTTATTGTACTGAGAATTCACACAATTTTGTTCATTTTTATATCCATTATTTTTATACGTTATCTTTTCATAATTAAATTGTATACAAATATTCATAAGTATTAACACATGTAATTTTACAGTCTGTAAAATTACATGTGTTAATACTTATGAATATTTGTATACAATTTAATTATGAAAAGATAACGTATAAAAATAATGGATATAAAAATGAACAAAATTGTGTGAATTCTCAGTACAATAAACACTTTAATGATTGCATGAACGGGACTCAAGAGGACGTGAAAAACAAATGGCCCACAAATGATAGCACTTCCCTAATGATAGGAATATTGAAACCATCGGACTGTGCACTGAATCCCTTTCCATATCGACATTCAGTGACGAAATGTTCGCAATTATACTGAATGGTATCGAAGTCAGCCGCCCGTCCCACCAATAAGTTGGCCGACTCTACAATTGAGTCGACATCCCTGGCCATCAGTCCACGATTAACGGCCTCTTCAAATAGGTTGTTGACTCTGCAGAGGTGACTGTCCGCCACTTTGACCATCGATTCATTGAGATAGCGATAGTCACCCTTCGGAGTGGGCGTCAGATGAACCACTTGTCCGGAGCCCACGTATACTCCCCAATGGCTGTACCATCTCCTCTGAAACTCAATGAGATCACCCGTTTGTGGGTTCAAGTGCTCGCAACTGAACAAATCATTGCCATAAATACCATTCATTATAGTTATAACTATTAATATACTAAGTTTCATGATTCAACGTAAATAAAATATTAATTTAAACACAATATACTTTCAATTATTATACCAAGTTAGTAAAACTTGCAAAATATTTAAACTAAAATAAATTTCAAAAGGTGTAGGTATTTATAATAAAATAAATTTGCATGAAATTCCCAGGGATACATAAATGAAATAATAAACATATTATAGTTGAATGCTTGATAAAGAGATTAAAAATCCTTAATAATGTGCCTTTCCAGTAATCCCTTGGTATAAACAATTTGTGACTTTAGTTTCATTGCTTTATTTACCGTAAAAATAATTATTAAAATAATCGTAAATCTCTAAAGTGCTATAAATATTTATTATCATTAGTTTATTAACAGAAGAAACAGAACATAATATTAACAAAACAAATCAAATATTCAAATTATTTTCAAAAATAAGAATAAAATAATAGAAATGATAAATAAAAGCAAAATCATTATTTTCTTTATAATAAAAGCTTAACATTTTAAATTGCATATAATATGAGATTAAAAACTGGACTCAAGAGGATGTAAAGAATAAATTACCAAAAAATGAAATTATCTCCCTAACACCTGGTATATTATAATGATCAGCCTGTTCACTAAATTTGTGTCCATATCTGCATTGAGTGGCAAAATGTTCGCAATTATACTGAATTGTATCAAATTCTGCCGACTGTCCCACCACTGAATTGGCTGACTCTACAATTGAATTGACATCCCTGGCCCTCAGTCCTCTCACAAGGGCTTCATTATCTAGATTGTTGACTCTGCAGAGGTCACTACCGGCCACTTCGACCAACGATTCGTTGAGATATCGATAAACACCGTCTTCTTCAGGCGTCAAGTGAACCACTCGTCCGGAGCCCACAAATACAGCCCAATGTCTGTATAGACTTCTCTTAAACTCTATGAGATCGCCCTTTTGTGGATCCAATTCATTGCAATTGGAGAAACTATCGCCACTAATGTTACTTACTATTGATAATAGTATTAATAAAATAAGTTTCATTACTTAACTTAAACTAGAATATCGATTCAAACACTATTTAATTCTTAAACTAACTTATCGTTAGTTATGATATACGTGTCTATTGTAATTTTCAACAATATTAAAACTAAAATAACTTATATAATAAAATTGCTATAATATAGTGAATACTATTGTTTTTATATAAACATTTAAAGTAATATTTGGTATATGAAATTTTTTACATGTTTAATTATTTATTCATTGGATTAATAATGACAGTAAACTTCAGAATTCAATTACGAATCAAAGCTTATAAGTTATTTAAGCAATTGATTAACCAGTGAAAAGGTTCTGGAGTAACGCCTATCATAACATAAATGATTAATATTTCCAAAATGATATAATTAACACAAAAATCATTTTAGATAAAACTTTTAATATAATATCTAAATAAGTGCTAATTAATAGAGTTGTTCCCCGAAGTGTCCATTTCTCTCAAAACATTGGTCAACTGAAACACACTCTCGAAGTACTGTTTCCTAAGACTGTGACACACATTAAGACACATATGATTAACATCTTTATTTTGGTCGCATTTTCTGCTCAATCTATTGATTTGTGTCAATACTGTCTCCACATCTCTCAGAGCGCTCTTCACTCGTCTCTTTTCTTCGGCTGAATTCGTCTCAATAGACATCAACCCATGGCTTAGACTTCGCACAAAACTATACGTGTCTTTCCTCTGGTCGTCAAAACATTTGTCCACTTCTTTCCTATTGTTCTTAGCATTTACTTCAATACCATTGCAATCAACTGTAAAACACAATAAATTTCAATCAACTAAATAATCACTTTATTTTTCAATTCAATTCATTCACGTTTAGATCCAATAAATACGATATAGACGGCGATTATTGTTGATTTCATGTTTTCTATTGAAAAGTCTTTTATTTCCTTAAAATAACTTAATATAAATTTATATAATCTATCTATAATATAGTATTTTATTATGAATTTTATTTATTTATATAAATAATTGACGTGTTTAATGATTTATATGAAATAAAATGTTTTTACACCATTCGTGACATTTTGCTCAATTTTGGAAAATTTTATTTACATATTAAGTCAATTACTTTAGAAATTATGTGCTTTTTATTGTAAATAGTGATTTGAATAATAGTAAAATAACAAGGGTAGTTTTTTATTTGAGTTTCTAAAGTGCCAAATTAACATATTGCCTATTTAAAACATTTTATAAAATCATATTAAATATAATTTTATAAATTTAAAAATCAATTAGAATTTTTAAATAAATTTCCATTATTTATTAATACAGTATAAAAATTCTTAAATTGCAAATAAAATTTATTAATTTATTTATTAAAAGATTCATAAATTATTTATTTAAAAATCATAAATTGCAAAACAGTAATTATAATAAATAAAGGATATACAGATAGAATCATAGATTTTATATAAATGCTCAAACATTTAATTTAAATTTAATTTTAATAAAGTATTTGTAATCAAATAACAATCAGAGTATGACTTCTTCTTTCTGATCCAATGTCTTAGGATTATCTTTGTGTGATTCATACCTCTCGACCACAAGCATCAACTGGAATACAGTCAATGCATTCTTCGCGAACTTTGAGCTCAAGAACTCGCATTCCTTGAGACACAAGTCGTCCCTAAACTTCAACGGATGGCATCTCTCGTACAGAGCGTCCATTTCGGCCATCGATTCCTTGAAGTGACCCATAGTTACGTTCAGATAATCCTTTTCGTCGTTAAGGGTTTGATTCAAATTGAATGACTTCTCCTCCAAGACATCATAGAAATATTTGACATCTTTGCGAAAGGCTTTGAAGCACTCTTTGGTTGACTTCTTGTCTGCCATTCGTTTCCATAGTCTTCCAGTGTTTGGCTCTTAATTAGAGACATTATATATAAGAAAATATAAAACAAAGAATTATGTTTAAAAATATCCAATTTACCTATTAATAGCACTATAATTACAATAGTAAAACATAAAACATGATAAAACTTCATTTTTACTGTAAAATGAATTGTTTGAATGACTCTTAATAGTGAAATACTAATTGGAAATCAAATCATGATTTATTTTATTACTTGTAAAATGTAAAATAATATAAAATAATGTTTACATTATAAGCACATCTAATAAGATAGTTTTCATACAAATTTTATATTTGATATAAACTTTAAATACTTAAAAGTCAATATAGTGTCATATTAGATAATATTGCTGCAAATAAATAGGTACTGTAGATAGATAAATATCAAACAGAAAATATTATTTATACTCTATTTTCATATTCAATTTCTTTATAACTTGTTGACTTAAATGCCAAATATTTATAGTTATAGAAAATCATATACAAAGTATACAGTATACTGTAATTTTCCATGATTACACGAGTTTAGTTAATATTCTGTAACTATAACTATATATACTAAGTGTATATTTGGTTTTGTTTTTGATTAAATTAAAGAATAATTGAGAATAAATTGCTTTTCGATGCATAAAACAGAATGAAGCAAAACTCAATTTATTTATTTATTTGTCTTTTTACCGACAAATTAAGGCGACAGTAATTTGGGCTCAAAATAGATTCTTATAATCAGTTAGTTTGCTATTAAATGCAATAAACAAATCAATACATAAGAATGCTATTATAAAGGATAGACTTTTACTTACATTGAGTACATGTTTGATGTCATTCATTGGTTTCATTAAGAAATGGAAGGCTTTCTGATTAGTATTAGTATTACTTAACTCTATGAGACATATGGCAACATAGAGTCTTAAACCATATAATAAGGGATAAATACTGTATTTTGTACACATTTGGTAGCAAAACATTTTATAAACAAAAATCAATTGAAACATTTCGGACTTATAATATGTATCTATTTTATTTTAGTTCATTAAATAGCATTTCAAAGTCTAAAGCCAAAAGTCTAATCCCAAGAATTTGTTTAAATTAATATACTGTAAAAATTTTAATAATCACCCAACCTCTCTTATATTATGTTAATAACTTGATGTATAATACTTAGATGTATAGATATATAGATGTATATATAATACTTGATATTCATAGAAAATCAATGTGATTTCAATTGCCTTCACTGTCTCTCCCGTCGACACAAAGCAAACTTAATTTAGTAGAAAAAAACTGTTCACAAAAAACAATGCAAATAATTAGAGTCGGAGTACTGTTCAGAGGAAATGTATTTTCAATTTATTCGTGTGATTCACATTTTTTGTAGTATAGAAATATTGAATTGAACGCAAGAATATTATTGAAAAGATATACGAAAATAAGTAAACCTTTTATAATAAGCGTTGAGTCAGAAAATTGTTGCCAAACAGTCTTACTTTGTTGGCACCAAATCTTATATTGAATTTTATCCTTAAAACACATTACATGTTATCTCTATTACTGCATACTTTTAAATCTCAGGCTTTTGAGAAAACAGGATGTATTTCAAAACACAATTTCTATAAACTATTTCTTGTATATTCTTCAATCAAAATGTTAACATATTATTAACTACAGTAATTCATTAATGTTTGGTGAGATATAAACTAACGTCCAATTACTTTCAATAGTACGATTTCAGGTCTTGATTAAAAATATTAATTGTAACTCAAAATTAACAAACATCACACGAAATTGTTCAGGATAAATGTTTTATATTTTTATGACTAACCTCTACGTCTTTATCACTAATAACTCTTCATATAATGAAGAATTTGTATTATAATTAGTATCAATGGTCTCATTATTTTGTACAAATATGCAGCTATACATTTCAATCTAATTATGTATGGGTTATATAATATAGTCCAACTTAAATTAGTTCCTTATAAAATTACTATAAAATAGTATAAATTTACTGTTATTCTTTACGTTAACAATAAATAATTTGATTTCCTTTCAAGTATGTAAACATCAATGCAAATGACATATTTACTCAGTTTGCAATTACTTTGGGATTTCTTTTTTAAGATTTTACATTGTAATTAAATTTTAACAATGGTGTAGAATTTGTTTTAATTTAAATTATAATATATTTAAATATGTTTACTATTTTATCATTTCTAAATTAACATAAAGTATTACTAAAAACTGATGCCTATACATAATTTATATTGTAAATATGGATTCATTTTAATATGTTTTTGAAAATCTAGTTTATTCAATGAGTTTATTAAACAGTTTAAACATACTATATTTTCTAGTGAAATAATTATTCTGTGCAAAACTAAAAATCGGTGCTTTCAAGTTGATTGTAACTTGATATTTTCATATATTCCGTACAGTAAATGTATACTAAATCTTCCAGAGCCTTATTTTATTTTTATTATATTAACTGTTATATAAGTAAGCACAATATTATATAAATGTTGATCTCAATTAATTTACATTGGTATTCTATATACGCCTAAAATATCCATAGGAGTACTCTAGACCAATTGTCAATAATTTACTCTAATGTCAAAGTATGGCTTATATAAGTATGTATTGGCTCATTAAGCTATCATATTTGATAGACCAAAATGAGATGACTCTCAAATGCTTTTATTTATTCTTTAAATATTGCTTTTATGTAAAGATTGAAAGTAATCAGTTTATACATAGTATTTCAAACTTTACATAAAAGCAATATTTAAAGAATAAATAAAAGCATTTGAGAGTCATCTCATTTTGGTCTATCAGATATAATTTAATAATACGGTTTTAAATATTTAGTCAATTCTGGATTTACAAATTCACGAGTATTATGGTTGCAAAATATATGGAGCAACAGGTTGTTTAAATACAGTTTTCCGTTGAAAACATAGCATTTTATTATTAACATTGTAAACAAAAATCAATCAAATGTTAAATATTTATTTGTTTATTGAATAGATTATGTTTATAATTAAAACAACTTTTATAAAAGTGTATACATATTTACTAAAATATTTCCACTCATAATATTCCTGAATTTCATTTGAATAATATTATCTTTCGTTTCTTATATCTAAAATCAATAATAATTTTCATAAATATATTATACACAATGCCCAGGGCAATACTTTATTTGCATGATTCTCGATTATTATTTTTTGTTTGACTTAGAAGATAACTAATTATAAAACACAAGTAAATTATATTAAAAGCAAAACCTTTATATAAACAAATAATTTTCATAAAGTAAGAATTTAATTTGCGAAAACAAAAACTCATTTAATACTCTGATTGAAAAAACTGATGACATTTTCATGCACTTTTCAATCTCTGCTTTTGTTTACTATTCGCTGATTTTTCAAATAAAATCTATTTCGAGATTTTAATTAATATTTAATAATCACAATATATTGTATACTCTACTGATAGAAAGCATGCAAAACTCAATACATTGGCTACGATAATGACAAAAACGGGTCGCTATTTCATTGTGGTATGACTTCAAACAGTTTATTAAATTGATATCATACGTAAGAATTATGTAATATTAGTAGCTGTGTAATCTTAGCCTTATGTTACTAGTATAATAATATTAGTCTTGTTTTGCAACTTATTATTAGAACAAATACAAAATGCTCAATATAGATTATTAATAGCAATAATAAGTATATTATTCCCATTGAAGTAATTCCTAAATTATTTATTAATTGTGATATAATATATAGTTATAGTTGTAAATATATTTTCTCTCTCTCTCTCTCTCTCTCTCTCTCTCTCACTCACTGACTGACTCTCCCTCTGTCTCTCCCTACTTCTGTGTGTGTGAAGAAAGAAAGAAAGAAAGAGAGAGAGAGAGAAGAGAGAGAGAGAGAGAGAGAGAGAGAATTATATAAAAAATATTTAATTTAATTATGTTTTGAGAATATAATAAAAATTTGATTCCTATAAACAAATATTATGCATTTAAATCCCAATTCTTTTATTTTATTTTACTCAGAATATTATATTATATAATGTTTTCATTTCAAAGTGGATTTCAATGCATTAAATGTAAAACACAGTTATACAGTATTCAATACTAATAATATTAACTTAGAAATATTATGTTTTATACCCTCTTGAGATCCCGGAATTATATCCAGGTATTCACTGTACTCTACAAATAGCTTATAATCTATAAGTTATAGATTTATCTTTTGACGTTAACTTACATGCACTTGTTGTGCAATCAATACTAGAGTTCCCCAACATTTTGTAGCAAATAATGTCAATAATGTTAAAAACAAATGCACATATTTTTTATCTCAAAATAATATTTCAAATTCTTTTTGAGTAAAGAATTTATTTTACGGAATATTCATAGAATTGTATTGAATTTCACGTTTCTTTATGCGCTGCTTATTTCAATAGAAATATTTTTAAAGCTTCAATAATTGGATATTTTTGTGTGAGATTTAAATTTTACAGCGAAATTTATAAAATATTCAAAACTACTTAAATTAGTATAATTTATGAGTTTTTAAAAGTGTTTATTCTCCGCTATTCTCTTTATAAATAAATCAATGATTTATTTATCAAACTTTTTGAAAATAAAAATCCATTCAAATTTGAAACTCAATGTTCAATATAAAATGAAAATTGTATACTTTGGAAACCTGTAGAGAGACATGGCAATAAATATATTATTATATTTTCAGATATACATAAAATTTTATATAAATAAATAATTTTGAATTAAACTTACCTCGTTATTAGCAATATAACTCATAAATTAATTAATAAAGTGTAATCTCGAAAATGATATTTCAAATAATAAAATATTTATTACATAAAACAGTTTTATACACTAAATTCAGCAAATAACTAATCCTTTAGTGCGAAGTGTTTTCAAATCATCTCCAGTTTGTTATCAATTAATTATTCTTCACAAAAGTGTTGGGAAAATAAATAAAAAAAATTGTGTATATACTGTATAATCAGATGAGCCATGTTATAATAGCTTTACTTATTTAACACACGAAGTGCTAAACAAAATGTTTGTTTAATTAGAGAATGGGTCACAAAGTTTCGGCTTTAATCAATAGAATATATTCGTATAACGGCTTACCTTGCTCGCTTTTAAGTTAATACTGTACATTGTATGACCGCATACTTATGCTAACCACTCATTAAATTAAACACACATATACTGTATGATAGTATTTGGTTTGTAAATGGATTATGAATTATGTGTTTAGTTAACCATAAATTCTATACAAATATTCCTTTGATGTTTCAGTAGGTGTATGGAGTCTAAGCTAACATACAATTAATGGTAATCTCTCTTAAATCTTCTTATTTGTGGCAATAAAACAAAAATTAATTATTTATTCAAATTTAATTAATATTATAAACAAAGCCATTGTATAATAGTTAAGTCTTAACTAATATGTAAGCATTTGGTATATATTTATACGAGTTAAATTTTATACAAAATTATATTTAATACTTTAAGACTATACTCAATATATCAATAACAATATAATCTCGAAAAACAGTAAAAAACAATAAAACAACAGATTTCTGCAAATATAGTGTCAAATAAAGGCAATAAAATTTATGACAATAAAAACCGAAACTCCGGCGACAGACAAATGATGCGATGATAGATATGTATGGTATGTATGGTATGTATGGATGTGTTGAGTGATGAGATGAGAGATCCGATGGATTACATGACAGAACTATTCTCGCAGACGGTATCACAGCTGCGTTCGGCCTCTTG